TTTTTTTTCTATGTTGTCTATTTTGCAGCATGTGGATATATTTGGAAGTGAACATACTTTGCATGATATAAATAGTCTTCCTCAATGGAACTTATGGTCCAAAACACTGTGTAACTTGTAAATGAGACTGGTATTGTGCTTGTTTCCCACTGGCACAAATTGCTTGATGTCATTTGAGCGGCAGCTGTTCATGTAGTTCGGCTAGTCGAGCAGTGCAATTTTCGTTTTATTTTATTTTTTCAATATACTTGTGTGCAGCCTAGGCCTGGTTTGTGGTCACCTAGGCCATTGAGACAGGTTATTGTTGCACATAGCACCATTTAAAAGGATATCATCACAAATTTATAATGAAACGGTTTTAACGGTTTGGTAGGTAGACCCGTCATACTTTTTTTTTAACAAAGTATAAGAATCTTTTAGCAACCTGACATGATATTTGGCACACGTGCATACACAGCATCTTTTAGCAAGTCCCCTCATAGAAAAAATCAAAAAAGAAAGCTTTTGTTATTTGCCATTTCTGTAGTAAGTGTTATATGATGACAATTGATAAATGCATCATGGTACCTTATATTATCTCTTGATGCCTTTGGACTAAATGGACCCAAACAATGGCAGAAAAAATTATTACTATGATGAAACACCTTAGCACTACCCATGAATTGGATTGAACACGAGAAATTGGGATCAATGTGTTACTCGGCGTCGTGTCGTGTGTTTCTCTTATAACATCACTGAGTTCCTCTTCTTTTTCCCCTTAAGAGAAAGATTGAGAAAATTAATGAAGAGAAAATCAAACCAACTCTTAGCAGTGCTACAGAAATTACTATAAGAATCATCTACAAAAGAGTGACTGAAAGATCAGCTTCCTTTCAAACTGGTAAAACATCCAGATGATAAAAATTTCGACTGAGACAGAATCCCTAAACCTACAACTATGCAACTTATTTACATTATCATATTTGCATGCTCGCAAAAAACGGGGCCCCAACACTACAACGTTCAGAAAATGCTCCACCACATATTAGAGGACGCAACCAGAAGTTATGCCACCACAAGCTATTTTCTGCATAGACGCAAGAAAAGGAAAAGGTGTCAGAAAAAACAAGCGTCTCAAGGCTGTCATCGCCATTTTTCCTTTGGTTTCTTGACAAAGAGATACTCCTACAAACGAGCATTAATCTTGGTGTAATTGGGTACGAGTTGAAAAGAATATAGAATAATGATAAGTTGCAGTCATATTTATATGTTACTAAAGAGAAATAAGTCTATAAATAAACATAGTAAAATTTTTCCGACATATTATTACGTCATTTGGAAATTTTGAGTTTCTTATTAAAAATCAAATCTTTGAAAAAAATCAAACATTCTATAATTCTTATGGAATACGTATTTTGAAATATACTACAAGTACAAATATATCATAAATTATAAGAAAATATAGAACATTTATTATGCTTAGTGAAAAGCCAAAGTTTATAAATAGTGTAAAACTAGTACAACGTCCGTGTATTACACGGGTGCTTGCTAAAATTTGTTCTTAAAATTTAAAATTAATGAAAAAAAAGTAGTTGAAATTTTAATTCTTTTTATAAATATATTTATCATATATATTTTAGTACGACACTTGTTACTTGTGCGATTTACATGTGTTATATTATAATAATTTTTCTAACTTATAACATATAACTACATTAAACATGAATATATTAATTGAGAAATAATTTTATTTTTTAATTTATTTTAATAAATATTTTTTTTATAATTGTAAAGATAAATATACAATATGAATGTCAAATCGAAACTCATCAAAAGATAATTAATTTGATACACTATATATGTAAAACCGATAAGAAAAATACAAAAGTTATCAACTTTTAAAATACATTTACAATTCAATAGTTATAATAAAAAATGATATTAAAATACAATTAATACATCTAAAATGATCATAAAGAAATCAACATATTTATGGTAACCCGAACCTAATTAGTTTTGGATTGAAATTAAATCAAAATCTACCCAAGCCAAGTAACAAAGCATTGAATTTCGACACATAGGATTCCGAAGCATGCGAAGCATGATCGGGAATTATGTATAGGGGGATGTATTGGGTTCATACTGATTTGATCTATATTTTTATTTAAAAATATATTTTTAAAAAAAAATTAATATCTTATTATATTTTCATCAAATTTTTATGCAAACTATATATTGTTAGTGAGAAAACAACCCATAAATGTACATCTATATCCATATATTATTATAAAAAAAATGTCTATTAATCAACTAAAAAAACTTTTTAATCGTTTTTATTACTAAATAATGAATATTTTGATCATATATAATTCAATAATTCAAGGTCGTTTTATTATCTTTTTAAACATAAAATAACAAATTAATCATCTTTTTATAATTTTCTTTTATTTAACACTCATAATGGGCATATAAAACTAGAAATTATTGTTTATATTTATATAAAAATAATTTTTTTCAATAACTTAATTTATATCTTAGACCAACATGAGATGAATGGATTCTTCCATTCTAATAATGTAACATTTTAATTGAACATACCATATCAACATTTTTATTGAATGGAAAATCAAATTCTTAAAAATGTTAACTAAAAGAAACATTTCTGCTAAAAATAAAAATTGATATGAATAAAATTAATTTCTTAAATATAGAAATATACAATTTTGTTGTACATCATGTTTATTAAGTTGTGTGTCACAGTAATATATTAGTTTTACTCGTGACTAAACGTTTCAACCATAATCAATACTCATAATTTAAAAATAACCAATAAAAAAAGATAAAAATATTTTTATATACAGAGGATCAGTCGGAGAAATATATAATGTCGTGTACGATTCACTTTCTCATAATAAACAATGGTTTATTTTAATTCTATTACATTTTTTAATATAAATTTTATTTAATGTTTAAAATAATCAAATTGACATTGCACGTGCACGGGTAAGAAGAGTACTAATTCTTTGTAAAGTAAAGAGCAGAGCAGCATGATGCGATTTCTTTCTTTTTTTCCTTCTTCGGTAAACTTCCATTTTATGTAATTCATCCGTAAAGTGAGACCACATACGTAATCTACTAATTCAAAAGCACTCAACTTTTAAGGATCAAAATTTACCTGGCAGCATCACCACACACGGAGGGTCTGGAAATTCAACGCTTTCTGGGCAGCATCCGCAAAGCACTGTGCGGCTTCGGCCTCCGCCTCAGCCTCCTCTGCCTCCTTTGTCGCTGCCTCGGCTGCCGCTATTGCGGCTTCAGCTTCCGCAACAGCTTTGGCGGCAGCCTCTGCAGCTTCATCAGCAGTCATGCTCTTCATTTTCTCCAGCTCAGCATCGATCATGGCTTTGGTAAGTATCACGATATCGTTCTTGGCTGCTTTTGGGGAATCCTTTGCAGCTCCATTTCCTAGTGGCTGTGACTGTTTCCCGACCTTAAAAGTTACCGACTTTGGGGCAATCCTGTATTGATGCTTCACCTGCCGGTGCAAAAGGGCATAAATTGTTAAATTTTATATAAGATACCGAGACTTTCATTTGGGCAAATTGTATATTTGTTTGAAACATAGCTATTTTTCTTTTCTTTCTTAGAAAAAATTCACAGATCCTAGACATTTTTACGTAATTATCGCCAAACAGTTGTACCATATAAACTTTATGGCATTTATTTTACTAAAAGAAGTTGCTCGAGGAGAGGCAGACATGGTGGGAAATATAACACACTGCTCATATTGGGCTGTTGATCTGGCACCTCCACTTTCCTACTTTGCATCTGTATGCCCCACAAGTCAACCTTGACCAGCCTAGCTTGGACTAACTTCATATCGTATTATATGACTACTCGATGAAAACCCTCCAGTAACTAATTTCACTGCTCCCACAGTAGAGTACAGTTTCCATAAAATACATTGCACCGTTTTTCTTTTTTATAAAGCCCACCAAATTTCATACAATATAAAATTTGCACAAAAGAATTAGAGTGACATCCAATCTGATTGAAGAAGCAGAAGGCACGGGTTGTAAGCTAATAAAACCTTAATTAGGCGTCCATTGTCTGTCAAAGTCTTCAAATTTGTAGCCACAGTCCTCTCAATATCTTGGGGCACCGAATAATGTTCCTAACATATAAACCATATATGGATTCAAGGTTAGAAAGTCATTACCATAGTGGATTCAAACCACTCCCAAAACAGTATGAGAATCATAGACAGGAGTGATAACTGATGACCTTTCCTGGACTTGTATGAAGTGTAAAGAAAAACCAATACAGTTCGACACAACTCGACACTTTGTAATTGATACACATATTTCTTTCACATTTGAGAAAAAAAAAAAAAAAAAAAAAAAAAAAAAAAAAAAAAATCAGCTCTTATTGTCAATCCCTTTAAGTAGAGAAATTTAATTACCTCTATGTACTGAGCAATTGCATGCCGACTGGATCCACGAGGTTCCTTCAACTTTGTTATAGCCTCCAGAATAACATCCTCCAACCTACAATTATAGCCAGAGGACCCAGAACTCTCTTTTAAATATATAAAGAGAACACTTTTGATCATAGTTTAAAATGGCGACGCCTCGAGGCGAGGCGACCGAGGTGAGAGCCACATCGCCTCGCCACTGCCTGAAGCGACCTTGTTCGCGAGGCGCTCGCTTCAGGTCGCCTCGGCTCCTTTTCGTGTGGCGAGAGGCGCCTGTGTGGCGCGCCTCGGCGCCTTTCAGGGGAATTAAAGGCGCATACCACCCCTTATTTTTTAAAAAAAATAATAATAAATGCATGTTAACACTTTCTGGAAAAGAGAATAAAAAAACGCACATCGGGCTCTTTTTTCCTTCATCTCCCAGACCCACGAAGCTAGGTTTTTACCGGACTGTGGACATAAGCAAAAAAATCTTCACCTTCAAAAACCTTCAATTACTTTCTTAAGTGGTGTT